CCCATGCGGGGCGCGCGCGCCCGACACCCGCCCGCAGCCAATCGGACCCGGCCCACCAGGCTCCGCGAGAGCCGCCCCCACCCAATCAACGAGCGGGACCCGGCTCGGCCGGCCCATAGGACTCGGCCGCTGTAGAGACTCCCTGACTCAGTCCCGCCCCCTTGACCCCCGCCGCCCAATCACCGCGCGCCTCCGCGCCCAGAGCTAGCGAGACCCCGCGAGATTCCCTCACCTCATACAACCCTCACCTCGGCTGGCCCCGCCTTCTTCACCTTTCCTGCCAATCACACGGCGCCGCTCCGGCCTACTGGCCAATTGACTCTCCCCCTAAGACGAGTCCCGCCCCCGAGGCCTGCTTTTTGCCCAATCGCGGCCCCCTCTCCGACGCAATTAGCCAATGAGGAGAAACGAAAGCCCGAAAAGGGGTTACTGGGCCAATCGTACTCGCAGGCGAGGCGGCCGCGTGATTGACAGCTCTCCTCACGAGTGATCAGGAGCGATGGGCGTTAAAGGAGCCGTTGCTCTTCAAATCGCGGCGCGAGGCGCCGGGTGACGGACGAGGAAGTCGCCGGGGCGCCCGTCTGCGGGTGGGCAGCTGGCCAATGGGAGGCGGGGAGCCGGCTGATGAGCGGCGGGAGGGGCCAATGGCGCTCCCGGGGCGGGGTGAGATAAGGACGCGGCGGGGCGCGGAGGTCACTGCGGGCGCTGAGGGGTGGCGGCGGGAAGCGCGAGCGGCAGCCGGGGGGAGGGACGAGCCGAGCGGGTCCCTGTGCCCGGCCGCTGGCGTGCTTCTCCCGGGGCCCCCTGGCCGTCCGCCCCGGGGGCGGCGGTGGGGCCCTCGGGGCTGTGCTGGCCCCGGGGTGAGCCCGCGCTCCTTCCCGCCCAGGGCCGAGCAGGGGAAGAGGAGCTCGGTTTCCTGAGGTAGATATTTTTGCCTCGGCCCTGCTCTCCAGAGGAAGGTGATTACTAAAGCTGTCTTTCATAAAAGAAGCTTGCCTAACTCAGCTAACGGAAGGGCGAATGTGCTTTAAAGGCGGTGGCTGGCCTCGAGATGTGTGAGGGGTTTTTGTTTGGGGTTTTTTTTGAGGGGAGGAGGTTGGCCGTGGTTTTCGGCATTTTTCTGGTTTTGGGGGCTTGGTTGTTTTTTGTTTTGGTTTGGTTTGCTTTTTTTCCCCTTCGATTTGAATACTTGAAGGCTTTGCATTAAAGTCTTGAAGCAACTTCAGACCGGAGGAAGTGCAGCATGCTGGCACTGAGGGCCTGAGCCTTGTCTCTAGGCTCCAGAAGCAAGTGAGAAGCACGATGTCACACGAGAAGATGAGTTTCCTTCTTCCCTTAGATCAGGAGGGGAAAACAAAGTAATCGCACGTTTTAGGTCTTTTCAGTAGACAGCTAGTAGCAGATACTATAGCTAATTCCCCTCTTAAGTCTATTTTTCTGAGGCTTGCTGCAGCATGCTCATTAACAGGCTGGGAAGTTATGTTTCACATGTGAAGTACGTGTTAACCTAGGAGCAAAATATTTTTTGTAGTTTGTTGTTTTAGTTCACTTGTGCCATTAATCTGCATGCTTGGGAAACGCAGTGTGGTTCTTTCAAGCATAAGTGTTCCCTAAAACAGAGATTAATAAAAATTTGACAGTTTTAACACTTTCCATTTTCTTGTGTGAATATTAATCATATCTGATTAATAGTTTTACTTCAGAAAAACTCCTGGTTATCAGAGCCTTACCCATGATGGTAGTAGAGTTAAATTAACTGTGATAGTGATAAAGAGGTTCCTTGATATGATTAAATTGGGTGAGTAGTTCCAAAGGAAATAAATGACTGACAGCAAATTTGTACGTGCCCCTGTTAGGAGTGAGCTGACAGACTTTCCTTCTCTACATCTGGTTCCTGTCTGAACAGGGAGGAAAGAAGACTAGCAGATCTATAATAGTACCACTGCGTTGCTGAAGTTTTACCAACAAATCCCTGATGGTACAGTATCAAGTACTGTGGTCTGTCTTTTCTGTATGTGTGGCTAAAAACTGAACAACATCATTGGACTTCTATACAGCAGGGGGTAAAGGAGACTGTAAATGTCAAAGCCTGTTGCAATTCCTAAAACTTGAGTGCAAAATCTTTTTAAGAATGGGTTTTGGATACTTTTTTGTCTGCTCTTTGAGAATGTAAACAAGGAAAGTCTTGCAGGAATTAAGATGGGGTTTTTTTGTTAAAACTGCTTCTGTTGCATTTTGAAATGTTGTTAGCTAACACTCCAATCTAGAATTATGGTAGAGTTCTGCTATCACGTCACTGTTTTAAAACAGGGGCTTTACTTAAAAAAAGTAAGAATAGATTTGGTTTACAGCCATTTTATAAGATTATGCATTGGAAGAAGAGACAGAATACTTATTTAGAACTTGTATTTCTAGCTGTCTGTTTGAAGTTTTTATTGAAGTTGATAACAAACTGCTAATGTGAATATGAATGTGGCATGCACCAAGGATTCTTTTGGTCTTTGCTTCCCCTCAAGCTCTGGAGAGGCATGGTGCGGTGGTGGGACAATGGAAGGAAGTGGATACAAAGTAGGTTGGGTGGGCCTGTGCATAGGGAAGCGCTGGGAGGACTGGAAGGCTTTTAAAACTCTCCCACACGTTTTCATTATGGACTTTTTTCTTTCTCTGTTATTGCAAAATCTTTCTAAGTAGTAAAATCAAGCAATTGCCTAATAATCATTTTATGGAAACTTGGGTTCTAAATGTATGTGCAGATTAATGTCCTGGTGGCATTATTCAAGTCCAAATACAGCGTCGTCTTAATTTTTTTTTTCAGTTAGGTACATTACTGAGTTAATTGGATCACATGTCTTTTAAACAATTGATTTTCAGTAGAGTTTAATTTTTACTGGTATATTTGCTGAAATCAGTCATCTTCAACTGCATGTTGGGAAGAAAAGGGAAGGAAGAAATTATTTATCTTGTTCATGCCACTGGTCTATAGTTGAATTTATGGTTATAAACAAAGTGTTCAGTGATATGGAAAAAGTCAACCTTTTTCTAGCATAAACTGAAAGTCTTGTAATGACTGCTTATTGAGAAGTGTTCATAGGCATGTGCAGTTTTGGTGACTAATTTAGGAGCCTAATCTCTGTAGGCTCCTTATCATTAAAGGGTAAAGAGGTATACTGCATTGCTGTCTGGAGGAGTCTACGTTAGGTGTGTCTGGACATCACTTTAACATTTCTTTCCCCATTGACTATGTGGAGTCTTTAGAGAGAAGCTTCTGAACAGCAATGTTTGATATTAAGCAGGGTGTTTTTACCTACTCATTTTTGCAGTGGATAGGGAATAATAATTCAGGCCAAGATCTCTGGTAGCATGTTTTAAAGCTTTGTGTAGCCATCTCCCCTGGAGTAGCTTGTGTCCCTGAGAACCTATTCTTTCAAGTATTGTGCTCATGAAAAGATGGCAATTGGATCCACTTCTCATTAGTATCTAAAGCATCTGTTTATACTTCCTCATGAGCAAACCAGTTGCCAACTAACCTGAGGGAAGTTCCAGCTGAAGCTCATGCTGCTGTTTTATCCTTATTACTTTAAGGAAGGATCAACACAATGGGCATTGTACTCAGCATCTTTGCCATGGTTGAGGATGTTACATACGTGCAGCTTTCCATTGCAAGTATCGCAATGATGCATTACAGTATCATGAGAGTTGCCTGCATTTTTATGAAAAGCAGACTTCTTTAATAAGAACAAACAAACAAAAACAAACCCACAGGTAAACTTTTTCAAAAGTTTTGTATTTTTTATTGATGCCCTTTTTCTTTATGATTATCATCAAACACCAACAATCCCAAGTTTTTTGATAGAGGTTATCTTTAGTAAATCTCAAAGGAAAAAAGTAACCAGTTCCATCAGCTCAGACAGCCTTCGGTCTGACTGCTTATTTATGTATTGCCACTAAGTGATCTGGGGCAACTCCTAGGTCCACTATTTGGTAAGAAGTGTTAGTTGCCGAAACCAGAACTATATGCAGCCTAAAGAGTTTCTCCCCACACACCTTTGTCTAAAGTTACTGACTTCCTATTGATTTGTCACACAACCTTTTTCTATTAGCTTTAGTGAATCAAATCCGTGGTGACTTCATTCTTTGGCTGTACATGAGGAAATACATGTCTTGTCTTGGTAATACTCTAAAAGTGTCATTAGACACTGTCATGTAGATGAATTTTCAGCAGTGAGAGCAAAAGGAGTGAACTGGGTTGCATTGTCACCAGTTTTCCTGACAGGTCTTGACTGGACTACTACAAACCCTGCTTCTGATTTCCATATCTGTAAAATGTAAGTGAAATCTGGGACCTGCTTTATTAATTTATTTTAGTTTGACTAAATGCTACAGCCATATTATCCATCTTTTATTTGTCCTTTGAAGTTGAACCAGCTCTTTTCAAAGAGGTGAGAGACTGGTGAGATGGCAGCTGGAGGGATACTTATCTTACGCGTCCATATGGAGTTATGTCAGGTGCCAGCGTTGTATGACCCACCCTAACAACTGTATCTTCCTTCTACACTGGGTTTATAAACACTTTTAATTGGTGTCTCTGGCCTCTGTCATGCTGTAAAGCTTAAGACTGTCAGTTTAGTCACTTTTTAGGCACTTCATGCTATGAAAGTTAAGGGGGACAAGATCCAGTTAATTCATATGGAGGTACGTTTAAGGAAAAGGCCTCTTAAAAGAATATTAAGGAAATGTGAAACTTGCAGACAAAGTGCTCAACTTTTAATAGACCCTTTGTTTCCTCAGTACAGGTCTGTTACTTGAAAGTGTTACCTATTAGTTATATGAATCACTCCTACTTGGAACAGGGCTGCAGAATGAATTAATCGTGTACTATTGTAAGTCAGTGCTTCCTTGCTATTTAATGCCTCTGTATAAGAAGCATAAGTCTGCTGAGGGGAAGCTCATTACAGAGCTGGCTCATATAACTTTAAGCAAGAGTGTTTTGTGAGTAGCTCAATGAGCTTAAGCCACTTGATGAGTGAGTTGGCAAAATCTAACCATAGTAATTTGAACTGGGCAGGTAGAGACACTGCACTAGATCCTGCCAAAGCCCAGTTTGATTGCAACTAATTTGTCATCCCCAGTGATGCATGGAGATATGCAATTGGTGACTACTGCTGATGAAACAGGACAGATCAATTCTAATCTCTTACTGGTGAAGACAGTTATTCATGGGGACATGCATCTGTCTCTTACTGTTTTATTCACAGTAAGAGTGCTGTAAAGCAGTAGCAAGTCTGCTGTTTGAGTATCAAACACTGAATGCTAGTATATCTAGATTTGTCAGGTGCTCTTTGCTAAACTCATTTAAAAACTACATATAAAAGTAAATACTGTGCATTAGAAACACAGGGCAAAGACTTGTCCCTTTTTGAAAATCTAATGTATCAAGTTGAGTCTTTTCTGACTCTTGAGAGATTTATTTTCCCCTTGGATTTGCCACTTGCTTTGCAGGGGTATAATCTTTTTGGCAGCACTCTGCATAAGCGCAAGGGATGGAAGACAATTTGTAATCAGTCAGTTCTATTTCTTTAATGCTCCTCAGCAGTGTTTTAACCTTAAAATTCTCCACAAAAGATTGTATCATATTGCACAGTATAAAATGTTATGGTCCAGTTCCAGACATAGGCTTTGTGGGTTTTTTCTTGTAGCACAAGAACTAGCTGTGAAAACAGGACTGAATATTAGAATAAGTCTTTTGATTTCATGGCTGAGCATTGTGCATAAATGTCCTTCAGCACTTATGCATGTAGGGGTTTTTGTGACCCTTTAATGCAGAAAAAGTAACATTAAGTGGAACAAAGCATAATAAAATGCTTGCATAGATTTGTCTCTGATCCACAAAAGGGGTACTCTGAGCTGCACTATTGATAATTTATCATGTAGGTGTTTGACAAGCTCACATGTACCTTGA